AGTCCAGATGGAACAGCATGATGCTGGAGGATGGAGTGGTACTGTTCCTTCTTCATGATACCCTTTACTTCAAACAAATCTCCTACTCCATCACCTGCAAAACATCGTTTATGTTCACGTTTACCAGTTTGTCTGCGGACATAGACTCTGCATTTTAAACCAAACAGTGCAAACTTGTTTCTAGTCATCATAAGTCCAATTTTTGTGAGCCTTTGCCCACTCATATCTCTTTTTCTTGTTCTGTGGACAAAGTAATGCTTTTTTGCAGATACACAACCCTTCAGACCAGCCTTTCTTGAATGTCTTTTCAGGTTTGTCAGAGATATGGGTTTCGACCTTGTCATGTTGATTTCCTCCGTTATTTTTGGTGCTGTCTTTTGCCGATCTCTCTTACTGGTTACAATGCTATGTTTATCCTCTGCTTTTATAGTAACTCTCTTTCGTCCAGGTCTTTTCCTATCATCATAACTTCCAGGTTCCTCTAGTCTCTTCAGTGTGTAGTGTACTCCTTTGTTAAACACCTTTAGGCGTTTTGCAATTTCTCTTTCTGTTTATCCTTCTTTCCTCAATGTACAAATCTGTACTTTTGTTTCTTTACTCAGTTACTTCTTTGTAGCCATTTTTGCGGTAATTTGAACGCAGTTGAGATTTATTGGGATTTTTGTATGCGGACTCTCAAAAGCCAAAAAGTTGAAGTTAATAATCCAATTTGTTTTTTTTGCTTTTGCACAGAAGTTGTGACTCTTGCAAATGTTTTCAACCCTAAAACTAAGCCCTTATTATCTTTTGCTGACATATTATTAAGCAATGGTCTGTTAACATCAATGTACAGTATATCTAAAGGTAAATGGAGTAAAATGGTGCATTTCCATGAAAGCAACATCTGATCATGGAGTAAATACATCCCAAAATACATAAAACTCATGCTGAATTTAAAAAAAAGCATTGTGAACAAAAACTTGAAGTTACTCCCAACTGTTCGGTCTGTAATGGCCTTGCTTCCAAACTTTTGGCCTGTAGTGTACATTCATTGGCAAAAGTTTCAATCTTGGTACACTCAAAGGCTGACAGAGGCACCACAGGAGGTGTGGGAATAATCTGGCATCGAGAGACTTCCAGACAGAGCTTAAATGCAGCAGGTGATTACTTGTCATGAGGTGCAGTTGTGTTGGTGCAGGAGGAGCCAGAGAAGAGCCGCCCAACTTCTGTGGGGGAAAAGGGGAGAGAAAACTCCACACAAGCTAAAAACTCAACGCAACCATGCCATCAAGTGTTAATACACAAGTATAATGTCCATGTAGATTCTCATTCATCCAGGTCATAGTTATCTTGAAGACTTAAAAACAGGCAACTGGACTGTGTAGAGTTAAGAAGACGTTTCGCCTCTTATCCAAGAAGCTTCTTCAGTTCTAAAAGTGCTAGTGTCAGGAGCAGATATTTATCTTACTGGAGAAGGGGGACAGTTAACGACTGGGAGGAGTTGAAAAGAATGGGTCGTAGAAACCCATCTCTCGGTGCGTCCCCCCCAAGTCGTTATCCTGAAAAGGACTTGGGGGGGACGCACCGAGAGATGGGTTTCTACGACCCATTCTTTTCAACTCCTCCCAGTCGTTAACTGTCCCCCTTCTCCAGTAAGATAAATATCTGCTCCTGACACTAGCACTTTTAGAACTGAAGAAGCTTCTTGGATAAGAGGCGAAACGTCTTCTTAACTCTACACAGTCCAGTTGCCTGTTTTTAAGTCTTCAAGACACAAGTATAATCATGACAAAACTGTTGGACAATTTGCATACACAGTTGTTGTTCACCAACAGCTGCAGTGGTGAACCCATCCTTGAGTGAAGAATTGCAAAAAAATGAGTCAATAGTTCATGAGTTTGAATATTAGATATCTTGTTTTAATAGTAAATCAGTTGAATCCAGGTGGAAAAGGATTTGCACATTATTGTATTACATTTTTATTTGCATTTTACACTACATCCTAACTTCATTGGTATTGGGGTTTGAGCATTTAATTTAGTGCAATTTCAGTGGAACAAACACGTTTACATTTCAAAAATCCTGGTTTTGTCTAACACAGTTAGTGACATTTTAACAACTGTACAGAGGGAGATGTTATCATATATGGCTTATTTTGAAAGCACCAGTAGACGGGTAACAACAAACATTGTCACAGGCTGCAGGTTTAGTAAAAAAAACATTGATCTCAACTTTGACAGTTAAGGTGGGGTAGGTAGGATCTGAGGAAGTGCCAGTTTTGGGGAGAAATCTTGAATGTAAACACTACCCCTCTCAACCAGTTTTCCCGTTAGCTCCTCCTCTCCCCTCCTTCTCTGCTCCAGCAAGCCACCAAACAAACAGATGCATATCGTTCCAATTAAATTCAGATATAATGCAGATAAATACTTTAGATAATTACAAATGGGGCCCAGTCAACATGAAAGTAAACAGCTTTGGTGCTACTGTAGATGCCAACAGACTACCAGCAAACACAACGTTTGCAGGACTTAACAGTTCAGCGGCGCTACAACACGCAGGAGGACCCGATTGACAAGAAACACTTCTGTTACAGACACTTGGCTTACTTTGTTAAAGTGGTTTACCTGTCCAGCAGAAAGGTTTCACGGTCCATAAAGATCCCAAAACATTCCCCATCATTGTTGACCTGGCTTTTTAGCTCTTGTCCGGGTGGTCTACCTCCTTTATTCCGCCAGACCCTTTGGTATTTGCTTTGTTTTCTTGCTTGTGTTCGTGGTTGTGGCTAAAGGGGGATTTTCCATACTTTCTGGTTGGTCTCCACTGTCCGATATTATAGCACGCTAACTTTGTTTGGGTTTGTGAACAACATGGGGGAGCAGTGTCTGCCTCACAACAAATTAGGTTGGGGGAGGCAGAAAATGGCTCTGTTTACAGTCAGAGAGAGCGGGCTGCTCAAGAAAATTTTAAATGTTGACTACACAGACATAAAACACAGCGATATTGTAATATTATCAAATGTCATCAATAATTAACAGCTATTGATTGATATTAAAGGTTTTTTGTATATACACCAAAAAAAAAAAAAAGATGCTTCTTTAACAGAATCTTGCCTACCCCACCTTTAATTAAAGTGGGACTCAGGCCAATGCACATAGTTTTTTATTTTTTATTTTTTTTCGCAAACAGTGAACACCAACATTTCTCAACATCACCTCAGTCTAACTGGACTTACTAAAGGCAGTTTTACACATTTGATGAACTCTTAATTAGGTAAAAGGTCAAATTAAAAGGGAAGAAACATAAACAAAACAGAAAAAAAAAACCTTTTTAAAGTTTGTAACTTTTTTTCTACTTAAGATGCTGCAAATTCAAACAAGATTGTGATTTTACATCAATCTTTGGGCACAGAAGTATGTGGAGGGTACAACCAAATCCAGGCATTGTCGTGGAAAATCCAACATAAACTTACTAAAACAATGCAAAAGAGACAGGATGAGATCTGAAGAACAGCCTGGGCATCTTTTATTGTACAGATGTAGAAATCAGTACAGATGACAAACAGAGTCTCGACCAAGAGCAAGGGAAGCCTCCCTAGCTTTTCTTCTACTCCCTTTTATGCTGTTAGTTGTGTGTGTGTGTGTGTGTGTGTGTGTGTGTGTGTGTGTGTGTGTGTGTGTGTGTGTGTGTGTGTGTGTGTGTTTGTGTGTGTGTGTGTCACAAACTTGGAAAATAGGTAAAACAGAAAAGAGATTCTGCAGCCAAATCTAGTATCAGAAAACGTAGGAAATTATCCTTCTCTGTTAGGGAAAGTTGATATAATATGTGATTTTGAGTTTGCTGAGGAAGACAAAGCCCACAACAAACCTTTGCCCGATTGCCTAAAGTAATGATCATAAGTAATTGTTATGTGAATGATAATGATGATAGTGCTGAACAGTCATATTGGTTTAATCTGGGTAACAATAACATAGACTTGTCACGTGAACTCTGTCATCCAATAGTACAAAAAGTAGTAGCACAAATACTTCCCCGCTTAGGTAAGAAGCAGAAACCCGCAAATATCATGTGACCCTGCACAAAATATGATCTTAGATTTCGGCCTAGATCACAGGTGTCAGGTTCAAGGCCCAGGGGCCAAATCTGGTCCATGGAACAATTATATCTGGTCCATAAGATCATATCATATTTGTATTATTATTGGCCCACCAGTATGAAGTCTGTAGATTTCTTCAAGTATAATAATGTAAACTTTAGCACCTTTACTTTAAATGTCCTTAATAAGCCAGGAAAATCTGGGAAATTAAAGAGTAAGGAAGATTTGATAAGTGGTCAAGAATGTGGAAAAAAATATATATATTTGGTGTTTTATTTCATGTTTTCTATTTTGCATCTCAAGATTACAAGTCAAACATGATTGGATTTTTATTTCGTGCTTTGATTTTGTTCAACTCAGTATTTAGACTTGTGTCATTTTTATACTTAAGATTCCAATTTTAAATTTTAAGTTATATTTTGACCTTTTAAACCTGATTTCAACATTCTTCTCGGTATTTGCTCTTTAAATGCATATTTTTTCAGTTTTTAATATCATGCTCTGATCTTTTGAACTAATAAATAAAATAGAATCAAAAAACTAAAATTTTTCTATCTTAGGTTGCCTTTAAACTTATCTTTTTATCTCTTTTGAATTTCCAAATGATTTATAATCATTGCTATTTTTGTTCCATATGTTTTGAAAAGGAGGTTGACAGTTTTGGTGAAATGTTGACCCTCTTTGGCCCTCAGGTTAGACCTAAATCCAGATTGTGGCCCTTACTGTGGTTAAATTTGACACTCCTGGCCTAGTTTATGTTCACCTGAAAATGCACTGATAGTATGTTTTCAATCTTAAAAAAGGGCACACAGGCTAGCTGTGTGCCGTGGAAAACCACACACCTTGTTGGGCTGATTGCCAGACTACCACAAACTGAACAGGGGGCAGGGAGATGGATATGAGCTTTTGAGGATGAACTGTAGGGAAAATGTTGACTACACCAGACATGAAAGCACTCTTGGCTCAACTGCTGGGAACTAAGATGATAGAGGAGTTTCTGCACAAGGCAAAACAAGGTTGGATGACAAATCCCATGATAGATGGGAGTGAGTTCAATGCATATTGTGATGTGATGTGGAGGGTGCTGCCAGATGAAGAGTGGAGACTGAAAGAGCAGAAAAAGAACATTCAGTGGAAGTTGATACAGCTACAGCTGGGAGAACTGCTCGGCGACAACATCCGCCATGCTGTCCAGTCCACAAACACACCTACACGCACACCCACACACACACCCACAACAAGGTGACTGATTTCCCCCTCTTCCTCTGTGTCACTGTCCCAAGCCACTACCTCCATCACTAGCTCCCCCTACCGTCCACCCCCAGTACTACATCATACCACTGCCATTTCTCCTCCAATCTCACCCTCTGCCTGTATAGTTTCACCAACACCTCACTCACAGTTCACCCCCATATCCTGCATCCCAGTCAGAATCTCACACCGAGCCCACAGAACATTCCCTTCACGGACCATCAACCTAACTCCTGTCACACTGGCTCCCATTTCACCACTTCCTGAGGATGAGCACACGCTCGGCACGAACATTAATTTGGCCGTGCTGAAGGTGTGCTCGCTTTTAAATAAGACGTTTATTATCCATGATCTGATTTTAGACAATAATTTAGACATTCTCCTTTTAACAGAGACATGGCTTGGCACTGATGCTTCAATTGTTCTCACCGAGGCTTGCCCCCCTAATTTGAATTTTTTATTTTCAACAGGGGGGGTAGAAAGGGAAGAGGCACTGCTTCAATATTCAAAAACACACTGTGCTCAAATGAAGTTTCTTTAAATTAATTTAATTAAACATCATTTGAATATCACGCATTTGTTTTTAACAGTCCTCCTACTCTCTGCATTACAATTTACAGACCACCCCATTACTCCAACTCTTTTATCTGCAAATTTTCAGAACTATTATCAATCCTACACACTACCCATAACAGGATTTTAATAACTGGTGATTTTAACTTGCACATTGATACACCTCCTGATCCAGTGTCCAAGGAGTTTTTAAACTCTTAAATTGCATGGGTTTTAAACAGCACGTAGCACAGCCGACTCACAACAGAGGGAACACCCTGGATTTGGTCATAACTTCCGGCCTATCCACTGGTGTGTCCTCTGTTGTCGACCTGGCTGTGTCGGATCACTACTGTGTGTATTTCAATATCACCAGTTTTAACCATCAGGAGGCCCCGGTGAGAACGGTGAGGAAACGCTACCTAACCCCCGAAGTGGCTGCAAATTTTATTGGGATTTTACAGAGCACTCCTGCCGCAATTTTACCTGCACCATGCAATTTTATTGTGGACTATTTTAACAGTACATTAAAAACTGTATTGGACACAGTGGCTCCATCGGTAATGAAAATTATTAAAACAAAACCCTTACCGCCATGGAGAAATAACGATGAAATAAGAAACATAAAGAGAAAATGCAGGAGTGCCGAACGCAAATGGAGAAAAACCAAATTAACAGTTCACCTTGAGATACTGCAGGAATCACTCAAAATTACAATAATGCAGTAAAAAAGGCAAGAACAGTCCACTTTTCAAAACTCATCACAGACCATAAAAACAATTCCAAATTCCTCTTTTCTACCATCGATCTTTTAACAAAATCCCATTTTAAAAAATCTTTTAAGACCCCCACAGACGCCCTCTGTGAGGACTTTGCAGATCACTTCGGGAGTAAAATAGATTATATTAGATCCAATCTTTTAACTCATCAGAATGTGATTTTTGACACATCTGAACAGCCGATTTTACCTGAGGAAACAGGAGTTTTGCCCTGGTTGGCGCAAGGACACTTGGTCGAGTTTTCTTCCAAATAAACCCAACAACCTGCCTTTTAGATCTGATTTCCACATCATTTTTAAAAACATTTTATGAATTTTTCTAGGAACAGATTTTAACCATAGTAAATTGCTCTCTTCAAACAAGTGTCTTCCCCACCACCCTTAAAACGGCGGTGGTGAAGCCCCTTCTGAAGAAGAGCAATTTGGATAATGATGTTCTTAATAATTATCGACCCGTATCCAACTTACCATTTTTAAGTAAAATCTTAGAAAGACTGGTTTTTAACCAAGTAAATGATTTCTTAAAAAGTAATAATATTTTAGAGAACTATCAATCCGGTTTTAGGATGAACCACAGTACAGAGACAGCCCTTTTAAAGATTTTAAATGATATCAGGTGTAATGCTGATAAACAGAAGCTCACAGTTCTGGTACTACTGGATCTAAGCGCTGCCTTTGACACAGTAGATCACCAGATTTTATTAAGCAGACTCAGGCACCTGGTGGGCCTCTCTGGTACTGCTTTTAACTGGTTCAGTTCTTATCTCTCGGAACGATCCTTCTTTGTAAGTATGGCTACCTGTTCCTCAAAAACTCATGAAATTAAGTTAGGGGTGCCCCAAGGGTCAATCTTAGGTCCAACACTTTTTAATCTGTATATGCTTCCCCTTGGGGACGTCATCAGGAGACACTGCATCAGCTTCCATAGTTATGCTGACGATACACAGTTGTACATCGCCGTGTCTCCTGAGGACACAGGGCCTATTGATGCCCTTTTTAACTGCATTTTAGATATCAAGTCATGGATGGCAGAGAATTTCCTACAGCTCAACGAGGACAAAACTGAAGTTTTAATTATTGGTCCTGAAGGCAAGAGAGAGAAACTTTTACCAAAACTACAAGATTTTAAACCTGCTCAATCGTCAAGAATCTGGGCGTAATTTTTGACTCTGAGCTGAATTTTATTCCACATATCAAGAACATAACAAAGATAGGTTTTTACCATCTTAAGAATATAGCCGGAGTCCACCCGTTTCTCTCCCAGGCCAACACAGAGGTGCTGATGCATGCTTTTATTTCTAGTCATTTAGATTATTGTAATGCCCTGCTCTCTGGTCTTCCCTATCCCCTTCCCTAAGACTATTCGTATTCTACAACTGCTACAGAATTCTGCAGCACGTGTGCTGACGAGGACCAGAGGGCGGGAGCACATTACACCGGTTTTAGAATCACTGCATTGGCTCCCCGTGTGTTTCAGGATCGATTTCAAGGTTCTTTTAGTAGTTTTTAAGTGTCTTGACGGTCTTGGCCCATCTTATTTATCTGAACTGCTTTTATCTTATCAACCCTCCCGTACCCTGAGGTCCTCTGGCGCTGGCCTTTTAGTTGTTCCTAGGACAAAAACCAAAACTTACGGAGAGGCTGCCTTCAGCCATTATGGCCCAAAGTTATGGAACAGCCTGCCAGAGAACATCAGGACCGCAGAGACTGTTGATGTTTTTAAAAGGAGGCTCAAGACCCACCTTTTTAGTTTAGCTTTTAGCTGATTTAACTGTTTTAGTTTATTTTATCCTTTTCTTTTATCACATTTCTATGTCATTTAGATATTTTAACATTATTTTAATTCCTGTACTCTACCATCTCTTAGTCTTTTTAGCTCCAGTGTTTCCTTGTGGGGGCCCTCCACACTGGGAGGTGTGTCTGGTCTGCCCCCGGGAGCATGGTCCTTGGGATCGTCCAGGCCCGGACGGCTAGGGGGCTCTGCACTATGTGCGGGGTGCACTCGGGCTTTCTGGGTCGGGGGGTCTTGGGGGCGGTGCTCCCTGTGGGGTTGGGCTGTGGCTCCTCTCGGTGTGGACGGCTCTCATAGGTGGTTTTTCCTCACCAGGATCCTCTGTGCCTTGCCATGTTTTTACTGACAGTTAGTGTGTGGGTGTGTGGATACGTGTGTGCGTGTGTGTGTGTGTGTGGGGGGGGCTGCTGTGCATGCCTGTATGTGTTGCTGTGGGTGGGAAGGGACGGGTTTTATACTTATTTTATTGCATTATATTTGCCATTGTTTGATTTTATCTTTTTTGTAAAGCACCTTGTGTTGCAGCTTGTATGAAAGGTGCTATATAAATAAAGTTTGATTTGATTTGATTTGATTTGAGAACTGCGAAGCAGAAACAAAGTACAGACTCACGCCGCTATGATGGCCACCTCTAAGGGGGACACTGCAAAAGAGACCCAGCGATGCAGACCATGCAGATGCTAACTGCAGTAAAACCTGCTACAGCAACCTGTTTGATCACCTGTTGTGAATGTTTATCCTCAGACAGAACCCTGCTCCAAAGAGATATAACCCGGCGGGGGGAGAAAGTGGAATTCTGACGGACGTGTGACATCTAAAGGCCTGCTGGAGATGTGATCATACTGGACATTTTTGACAACTGCCCAGACCAGGGATGCCTCTGGCTGGAGATGTAGTGGGGGGCCCCAGCCCAGACAATGTGAAAGTGGTGGCTTACTACAGTGTGATTTTTGTGGATGATGGAAAGAGTTAATTGTTAGTTTTAATTTTAACACCTGTTGACCTTATAGACCAAAAAAAAAAAAAAAAAAAAAAGCCTTATGTAGAAGTAACATCTAAATTTGGTGCTAACCGCAAGGTGTATAGGTAGACAGTTATGGTTTATAGTTTTAAGTAAATACCTTGACCGAGTATGCAAAGGTATATTGGCTAGGTCATATCGCTATAATAAAGTATATATTAAGGTTTAGATCCCAAATGTCCAGGTGTTATTGAAAGATGTTTTTGACCCATCACGTAGTAAGATGTACTGAGGAGAAGTTGGACGAAAACATTATGGTGTGTCCTTGAGTCCTGTATAACTGGACCTGAGGCTGATGTGTGACTGTCATATTGAGTAATATATCCTCTAAAGCATGCAGCTGAGGAGGGAAGCGGAGTTTAACTGAGGGGCCTGCTAAAAAATGTTGTGCTAATTGAGATCTAGGGTGTAACATTCCTATTCTGTTAGTTTAAAACTGATAAATCCAAATACAGCTGTGAATCCGTGTACACTCCTCACTGAGTGTCCCCTAATGTAAAAGTATTGGGAAGCTGTCAAAAGCCAATAAGGCCTTCGCGATGCTTTGTTTTAAAGTCAAATAACTACAAACCAACTCAGAGGGAGATAATGAAACGATTAAAACATGAGATTTTTAGAATATGCTGACAATAGTTGATAAACTCTTGAGTCATTGTGTTGTGTGTTTTTTACATAAATTTAAAGAGACCAATAAAACACTTGTAGGACACTTTTCCATTTCCAGAGAGACGCTTTTAGACATCTATTCATAGACAGTGTGGACATGATTAAAACTGCCAAGGGAAATGTTACATGTTTGTAATGATGACAGGTTCGGTCGATGGATGGAAGCAACAACATCAAAAGATCTTG